AAAGTCCGAAGGCTCACTCTACTTTTCTTTGAAGCAGAGGTTTACCTATGCAATAAGTGGTCAACCGGTTCTACGAATTCCAGAATTTTATTCCTATTTTATTTACATATACTTGCTTGAGTGAAGAGCAGTATTATATATAAAGATAAATTATCTTTATTGTAATCAATAGTTTATGTTATCTCAAATTTCCTTGTCCGTTTTGTCTTAAATTATTGATTTATAATCACCTTTCCATACATAAGTTGTTTATTATACATGTGGGTGGGGTGTTATGTAGGTATATTTATGTTTCTTCCTCTCTTTATCATGTTTTCCTTTTTTTATGGCTTTGAGCCAGTATATGCTGTATGGTACACTTAAATATATCATAAAGCAGATGATGAAGTACCTAATTTGTGGGTGTCTAAAAGCTCTAGCGTAAGTTCAACTTAAAAAGTGAACTGTTAATGACAACGACACATTTTCAACAAAGAGCGCCCAGAACCCATCTATGGAAGAAACCAGATTTTCCTTGCTCTTTATAGAAAACTGTTTTTATTAACCAGAAAGCCAGTTGAACCAAGTGTTTCTTTTCCATTGTCTGGGCCCTATAATATTCTTTATTCCTTTATGTATGTAAGTCTTATGAGGATTTTTTTCCCCTATCTACTTCCTCACAATTTCCATCCTAGAAAAGGTAGTGGTAGCATTTGCCTTTTTTTTTTATATCTTGGTAATATGTAAACTATTTTGCTTTACCCCCAAAGGAGGCCACCCACAATAGCCAATTAAAACCCAAGAGTTGCTGTTCAACCTGGTCTCATTTCAAGGTCTGGCCTGAGCTTTGATATGCTGCATTCCAAAATGCCACTCACAGCAGTCAACTAATGCTAGATATCTTTTTATTGCTAATCGAACCAGACAGTAGATGTAAGACTTGCCCTTGCGTCTCGTCTTGCCGGGAATCGAACTCAGGTACTTTCGAATATGCGTCAAATTCTCTAACCACTGATCTACAGTTCGAGTAATAAATGATTCCAATGGTGCCCAAGCAGACACACTTGGCACCTACAAATAAGGCTCCACTGGTGCCCAAACAGCGACGAACCTTACACCAAGCAAGCAGTGCCCAGCTAGTGCCACAACAATGACATAACAAGGAGAAACAGTAGCGGAGATACCTGCCACTCTCCACAAGAACTACTGACCCAGCTCGTAGAAGCACCAGCATAAATTCGCGAGAATAATCAGAACCACAGTGGATTATGGATCAATATAATGATTAAGCGTGGCCCCTCATCACTCTCGTGTGCTGACTGTTAGGCTAGAGTTGTTGCACCACTTTTTTTCCTGCTAAGTTTTTTTTATCCAGTCTCATCTCTTTTAAAAATCTTACGTTTGCAACATCTGAATTACTGTCATCTTTATTATGTAGACACAAACAGAACAGGACAACGTTGAAGACAACCGTGAGCTAGAGCCTTCATTTGGTCATTTGATTTGGTTTCTCTGTTTCATATGTTACACAAATAACCCACACATAAGAAAGAGGGACTTGCGACGACGTTTCGGTCCAACTTGGACCATTTACAAAGTTACCCTAACAAAAAGGAGTGAAGGAGCCAGTTTATATAGGCCAGCTGGCTGGGACAGGACAGGAGAGGTGGGAGTAGTAGTACTAGTAGTAGAGTTTGTGACTTTGTAAATGGTCCAAGTCGGACCAAAACGTCGTCGTAAGCTTCTCTCTCCTATGTGCGGGTTATCTGTGTGTTGTGCGTACGCTGTGAAAACCTATTCTTGACACGACCCTTTAAAGAGGTGCCTTGTTGTCCCTGAACGTCTTTTCCTCTAAGGAACTGGTTCTACCCCGTCCCATTCCTCGGCTCAAACTGATTAGTCTTCCTTCCCCTGTAGGTTTAGCGTTTGTCCATAGGAGTAAATAACAGTTGATGAAATGACATCCATGAGAAGGATACTGCCAAAGGGAAATTGCTATGGATGCCAATCGTACTGGCGTAATGCTCTCTCTCTGTCTCTGTCTCTGTCTCTGTCTCTTTCTCTCTCTCTCTCTCTCTCTCTCTCTCTCTCTCTCTCTCTCTCTCTCTCTCTCTCTCTTCTCTTCTCTTTCTCTTCTCTCTCTCTCTCTCTCTCTCTCTCTCTCTCCTCTCTCTCTCTCTCTCTCTCTCCCTCTCTGGTAAGTGGTTTTTAATTTAGGGAACTGGAGCGACCCTCGACTTGTATCAGAGCTAACTGTCTCCCATTCCCAAGAGCTGTAAGACCCTCTCTACGGGTTTAGCGTTTCCCAGTTAATATAATAATCGCGACTGTGATATAATTATCACAACCAACTACTTGGCACACAAACACGAGTGTCTCGCAAAAGTTACAAATTAATTATAAGAATATGATTATAGTGGTTCCTCGGGCCACGAACCGACGGTCAGAGTTGAACGATTGCCCATCTGTCCCGCTACCATTGGACCACAGAACACTGATGTATCAGTCCATCCTTATTCCAGTTCACTACAGTATACTGATGGACCTGTTTGTCCCTTTACAACTCCCTACAGTTGACTGACGGACCAATCAGTCTTTTATCTTAACTGACTCGTATAGAGAGAACGGGGAAGTGAGGACAGGCGAAGAATAGCGTCTCCGGGGAGGAGTGTCTTCAGTCACAGAGACAGAGCCGGGGCTTAACCCAACAGTGGAGCGCTTAATGGTGAAGATGAGGGTAGGAGCAGTCAGGCTGGGGACAGCTGCCAGACGTGAACTGAAGGAAGTGTGGTGGACACCGGACAACAATGCAAGACACTTGCTAGTGCATGCATCAACACTCTGGTATGTGGTGGGGAAGTGAGAGAGGGGGGAAACAGTGGGAAGTAAAGGAATGGTGGCGGGTAAAAAAACAAACAAACAGACGTCTTTTAATTAAGGTTCACACTTGCGTGGGGTAGGAGGAAAGTTTCAGGTTAGAAGGGTAAATGTAGAGAGGATTAAGAACAGGGTTGTAGAAGGATTGGAAAAGGTTGAGGGTTGTGTAGGCGTAGTATGGTCTCTTTTAAGCGCATTGTCAAGTCTTTGTGGTAGGTCTCCAAGTCTGCCAAGTTACCCGTCAGCTAATATTTCCAGAACACGTCGAGGGCCAGGAGCTCAGACCTGATGTGGAGAGACTCAGTCTTGGCGAAGCCATCTCATTTCATGTCCAGCACCCAGCCTTATAGTCTGGATGCGTTGAAGCTTCAGGGCATGAAATGTCTTGGCAGTCGGAGAGAAAGCGAGAGATAAAGGGGATTAGAGGGCATATGAGAGCCGTATAGAGGAGGCGTTTTGTGATGTGTGCACCTCTGAGTTTGTTCAAGCGGCTTTAAACAGTACCTACATTCGCTCGTTTGGCATTGATGTGTACTCATCCTTTGTTAGTGTCAAGTGTGACTCTTGGTACACTGATGGTAGTGGTGGTGGAGCGTGGAATGGATGTTTGTGTGTTGGTGGTTCTGAGTTCGACTGGTGGTGATGGAGCTTGCATGTTGTAATAGAAATACGTGATCTTTGATTTATTAGCGGTGGTTTTGATGCACCATCGTATTTTCCATGCGCTGATTCTATCGACCTCGTGTTGTGTTCTGAGTGTAAGGAACTGTATGTTTTGGAATGTAACAAGTTGTGTAATGTCATCAGCATAAGCTGTGTTGAATGTGTTAAGGTGAATAGGTTCAGGCACGTCATTAGTGTAAGGTCGGAGAGAGCACCGAGCCTTGTAGGACACCTGCATGGAGTGTACAGGAGTCCGCATGGTGGTTCCTAAATTTTACTCTCATCGTGTTACTGTCAAGGAAGTTGAAGAACACTTTTCTATGTTGGTGGAGAGGTCGAAAAAAATATAACGAGGTCTCTCATACAGCCTTGAGTCTTGGTGACTTGAATAAAATTCAGAATGATATTAACGGCGCCTTCTGTCGAATATTGTCGTTGAAAGCCATTGTCTGATATTTAAAAGGTTGTTGGTCTCGAAGTGAGTCCGCAGTCATCAGTTGAGAAGTCTCTCGTAGGTCTTCCTAAGGATTTCTAGCAGGCTGATGAGCCTGTAATTCGTTGGATTTATCAAGTCTTTTTGCGGCTTTGTGACGAGGGAAACCGTTTCAGACTTGAAGAGTGAAGGGAAGTAGCCAGAAGCTAAACATTAGTTGATGAGAGTAATAAAATAATAATAATGAGAGTCAAGGAGTTTGAGGACGCGGTGAGAGAGAGCGCAGATGCCCAAGGGCCCTTTCGGTTAAGACGAGTGAAGAGGAATTTAATGCTGTATTGAGTGAATGTTGTGTGGAGTGCGTGTAAAGGCTTATGGCTGGATCAGGAGTGGTGAGGTGACGTGTTGTTGGTAACCCAATGTTCAATGTACTGTGAGCGCCAATGTGTAATAGGGTCTGGTGAGTGAGGACGGAATATGTTTTCCTAAAAATCTTTGATTTTGTGTGTCCCCTGCTGGGTCAGAGATGTCCCTGTTGTTGTGAGTAATGTGACGATAGTTTGAGGTGTTTGGGTTTCCATTGATGTTCCGGACTAAGGTTCAGAATTTCATGGAATCTTTAATGCGGCGCGCTTATGGGATAGCCATTGCTGGGTGTGGGCCTCCATGCCCTCCCTTTATCACTGCCCTGGAGTAGACAGATGGACTGGCTGTCTCTCTACCACTGTACCACAGTGAAATGATGGACTAGTCCACCCCTCTACCGTGCACCACAGATGAACTGATCCACCTCTCTACCACTGCATCACAGTAGATCAGAGCACTCCGTTGAATGATTACATAATTTTACTATAGACTTTAAACATGTATGAACAGTATTATTACATCCTTCGGAACACTTTACCCTTAGAAATCATACAACTTGCAGGGAGAATGTGTAAAGGCTAAGACATCTTTTTATTTACAAATAAACAAATGAAGTTGCAAAGATGCAACAAATATCTATATGAACAAACAATTGACAAAGAAAATCAGTTCTAAGAATTACCTTACAAGCGTTCCCTCGAGGTTCCTCAAATCTGAAATAGAGTGAACACGAATTAATGAATGGTAATTTAAAAGCGAACAATGTTATCTATATTATCCAATAATCTCTGTAACGGACTGAGGAAGCCACTTGTTTGCGGAACGTTTCCACAATAAAGGGCCTCAAGTGTTGCACAAGTGTCTCAGTCATCAACTTGTCCATTCTCTGAATCATTTTTTTCTGCAATATTATCTACGAAAGTTCTGCTTAGCAACACTGTGGCCGACTGGATAATGGTCCAGGCAGGAGATCACCAGACTACCACCCAGCCAGACTAGCACCCAGCACCATCACGGTAGCTGGCTGCTGCTGGCAGTAGATCATCAGACTAGTACCCAGCAGCACCATTGTGGTAGCAGGTTCCTACTGGCAGTAGATTACCAGACTAGTACCCAGGTACTGCTGAACTAGACTAGCACTCGGCACCATCATGGTAGCTGGCTGCTGCTGGCAGCAGATCACCAGATTAATAAATATTTGAACTAGTTTAGTATAAGGTTGCGTGTGACCCGATTTCCCAATTTTTATTGAAAAAATAAGGATGTTAGTTTCCATGTGATAACCTGTGAGTGGCAACTCACATTGACTTCAGATCTTCAATGTGAATATTGAACTAAATTAGAAAATTATACCCACTCTGCAATAACCTTTTCGAGTGCACTAACGCACAAGGCTCTAGGATTATGCAATACGGGGATACCTTTCTCGCATCGCTTAGCGACCGAAATACATTTAGTATTTTCACGGCTGTGAGTGCTCTCTAAATGTCAAAACTACTACTACGCCTGGAGCGAGGGCGACATCTTCGTTTATTAAACAATCAAAAAAAAAAAAAAAGCTCCTTAACGGTGCAGGACGGTTTGCTTATGAGGCTTATGAATATCACAGGGATTTAAGGTGGTGTTTATTCAAGAACTAGCCTAATATATATATATATATATATATATATATAATATATATATATATATATATATATATATATATATATATATATATTCACGAGCGGTAATATATGTAATTAATATCTGTTCATCAAGGATTAATGTTGGTTCAACAGTGGATGCTTCCTCCTGAGCCGGTGGCTCGAGACCTTAACCTTCAGTATCAAATGACGTATATATAACGTTGCTTTGTCTCTGTGTTTGCTGATATATGCATTATTGTGATGATGTATTTCCTAATGGGTTTTGCGCTCTTTTCTTGTGTTATTATGAAACAATCTGCGCCTATAGTTCTCCCAGGTTGAGATTAGTTGTTTATAAACAGAGTTAATAAGATACGTGTTCATACCACATGTAACCTGGACCAGCTAGCAAAACAGGCATACTCATCAAAGCAGACTCATCTTAATTAAGGCACTCATCATAATATACCCGTCAACATAACACACCTGTTATTATAATACACCTGTATTCATAACATACTCGTCATCATAAGACACCCGTCATCATAACACAATCGTCATCATAACACACCCGTCATCATAACACACTCGTCAGCATAACACAATCGTCATCATAAACACACCCGTCATCATAACACATCCGGTATCATAACACACTTGTCATCATAACACACCCGGCATTATAACAAAAGCCGTCATCATAACACCCGGTATCATAACACACCGGTATCATAACACATCCGTCATCATAACTCACCCGTCATCATAACACAATCGTCATCATAACACACCCGTCATCATAACACAATCGTCATCATAACACACTCGTCAGCATAACACAATCGTCATCATAAGACACCCGTCATCATAACACACCCGGTATCATAACACACCCGTCATCATAACACACCCGTCATCATAACACACCCGGTATCATAACACACCCGTCATCATAACACACCCGTATCATAACACACCCGTCATCATAACACACCCGGTATCATAACACACCCGGTATCATAACACACCCGTCATCATAACACACCCGGTATCATAACACACCCGTCATCATAACACACCCGGTATCATAACACACCCGGTATCATAACACACTCGTCATCATAACACACCCGTCATCATAACACACCCGGTATCATAACACACCCGTCATCATAACACACCCGTCATCATAACACACCCGTCATCATAACACACCCGGTATCATAAAACACTCGTCAGCATAACACACCTGTCATCATAACACACCAGTCATCATAATACACCCGTTATCATAACACACCTGTCATCATAACACACTCGTCAGCATAACACAATCGTCATCATAACACACCCGTCATCATAACACACCAGTCATCATAATACACCCGTTATCATAACACACCCGTCATCATAACACACCCGGTATCATAACACACTTGTCATCATAACACACCCGGTATCATAACACACTTGTCATCATAACACACCCGGTATCATAACACACTTGTCATCATAACACACCAGTCATCATAACACACCAGTCATCATAATACACCCGTTATCATAACACACCTGTCATCATAACACACTCGTCAGCATAACACAATCGTCATCATAACACACCCGTCATCATAACGCACCCGGTATCATAACACACCCGTCATCATAACACACCCGTCATCATAACACACCCGTCATCATAACACACCAGTCATCATAATGCATCCGTTAGCATAAAACACCTGTCATCGTAACACACTCGTCAGCATAACACACCCGTCAACATAACACACACGTCATCATAACACACCTGTCAGCATAACACACCTGTTATCATAACACACTCGTCATCATAACACACCAGTCAGCATAACACACCCGTCAGCATAACACACCTGTTATCATAACACTCGTCATCATAACACACCCGTCATCATAACACACCCGTCAGTATAACACACCTGTTATCATAACACACTAGTCATCATAACACACCCGTCATCATAACACACCCGTCAGCATAACACACCCGTCAGCATAACACACCTGTTATCATAACACACTCGTCATCATAACACACCCGTCATCATAACACACCCGTCAGCATAACACAGCCGTCAGCATAACACACCTGTTATCATAACACACTCGTCATCATAACACACCCGTCATCATAACACACCCGTCAGCATAACACAGCCGTCAGCATAACACACCTGTTATCATAACACACTCGTCATCATAACACACCCGTCATCATAACACACCCGTCAGCATAACACACCTGTTATCATAACACACTCGTCATCATAACACACCCGTCATCATAACACACCCGTCATCATAACACACCAGTCAGCATAACACACCTGTTATCATAACACACTCGTCATCATAACACACCCGTCATCATAACACTCAGTCAGCATAACACACCTGTTATCATAACACACCCGCCATCATAACACACCCGTCATCATAACACACCAGTCAGCAGCATAACACACCTGTTGTCATACCACACTCGTCATCATAACACACTCGTCATCATAACACACTCGTCATAATAACACACCCGTCATCATAACACCCGTTATCATAACACACCCGTCATCATAACACACCTGTCATCATAACACACTCGTCATCATAACACACCCGTCATCATAACACACCCGTCATCATAACACACATGTTATCATAACACTCGTCATCATAACACACCCGTCATCATAACACACCCGTCATCATAACACACCCGTCATCATAACACACCCGTCATCATAATACACCTGTTATCATAACACACTCGTCACCATAACACACCCGTCATCATAACACACCCGTCATCATAATACACCTGTTATCATAACACATCCGTGATCATAACACACCCGTCATCATAACACACCTGTTATCATAACACACTCGTCATCATAACACACCCGTCATCATAACACACCCGTCATCATAATACACCTGTTATCATAACACACTCGTCATCATAACACTCCCGTCATCATAATATACCTGTTACCATAACATGAATTATGGTAGCAGGGAATGGTTATAGAGGCTGATAGCAGGGAGTGGTTGTAGAGGCTGGTAACAGAAAGTGGTTGTAGAGGGTGATAGCAGGGAGTGGTTGTGGAGGCTGGTAGCAGGGAATGGTTGTGGAGGCTGGTAGCAGGGAGTGGTTATGGAGACTGGTAGCAGGCATTGGTTGTGGAGGCTTGTAGTAGGGAGTGGTTGCGGAGACTGGTAGCCAGGAGCGGTTGTGGAGGCTGGCAGCAGGAAGTGGTTGTAGAGGGTGATAGCAGGGAGTGGTTGTGAAGGCTGGTAGCAGAGAATGGTTGTGGAGGCTGGTAGCAGGGGGTGGTTGTGGAGGCTGGTAGCAGGGAGTGGTTGTGGAGGCTGGTAGCAGGGAGTGGCTGTGAATTATGGTAGCAGGGAATGGTTATAGAGGCTTATAGCAGGGAGTGGTTGCATAGGCTGATAGCAGGAAGTGGTTGCAGAGAGTGATAGCAGGGAGTGGTTGTGAAGGCTGGTAGCTGGGAATGGTTGTGGAGGCTGGTAGCAGGGGGTGGTTGTGGAGGCTGGTAGCAGGGAGTGGTTGTGGAGGCTGGTAGCAGGGAGTGGTTATGGAGGCTGGTATATGGGAGTGGTTGTGGAAGCTGGCAGCAGGGAGTGGTTGTGGAGGTTATTAGCAGGGAGTGGTTGTGGAGGCTGATAGCAGGGAGTAGTTGTGGAGGCTGGTAGCAGGGAGTAGTTATTGAGGCTGGTAGCAGGGAGTAGTTGTGAAGGCTTGTAGTAGGGAGTGGTTGTGGAGACTGGTAGCAGGGAGTGGTTGTGGAGGCTGGTAGCAGGGAGCGGTTGTGGAGGCTGGTAGCAGGGAGTGGTTGTGGAGGCTGATAGCAGGGAGTGGTTGTGGAGGCTGGTAGCAGGGAGTGGTTATTGAGGCTGGTAGCAAGGAGTGGCTGTGGAGGCTGGTAGCAGGGAGTAGTTGTGGAGGCTGGTAGCAGGGAGTAGTTGTGGAGGCTGGTAGCAGGGAGTAGTTGTGGAGGCTGGTAGCAGGGAGTAGTTGTGGA